TTTTTTTTTGAAAGCTTAGATGAGCTTTGGACACTTGGACGTTTGGACGTTGTACATGCCAAAAAAGGCTTTGGACATCAAAAATGTACATCCCAGCTTAGGCGTATTTTTTAAAAAGGAAAAATTGGATGATTTCATAATGATCGAACATTGAGTCTTTCAAGAAAATCAATCACCAGATCGCGGTTTTTCATCTTGTGGCAAATTACCACAATTCTTAATTATGCGATATTCCAGTATGGCATTTTCAGGTGCGTCGACTATAATTTCGTCAAAATCTTTTTATTTATTTTCATTTAAATACTTATCATCATCGCCAGTTATGTATAATACAGGAAATTGTTGTAAAATGTACGTACTTATTGGGCAATATTTCTAAAGGAATGAAATATTTAAACAACCATGAAATCGCCTCATAAAAGTTTGGAAAGGTAAGCGGAACGCGATAGGATGGTTTGACCAGCATTGATGTCATGATAAGGTCGCGTAATAGGGAGGTATTGATATAATGCGGCTTTAAGAAATAACGAATCGACATCAAATTTACTGTCATGTGAGTAGCGCCACCTAGGTTCAATATGCACAATATCCAAATATGCAATGCAGGGTCATAACAATAGCACCATAGATCCAGTCTGCTACAATTACGGTAGGTAGCGCTACTCACATGACAATAAATTTGGCCACCCGGTCGATTCAGAAATAACCGTCCCGGCGTCGAACCTAGGATATGACACGCCACTGGGGGTGGGCCTATGTACAATATTATCAAATCATGCACAACGTTATAATTACAAATCAAATTAATTTTAAAGTAATAATTTTAACAGTTACGTACGTACCTTGATCTTTGGATCTCTCAATGAAGGGTCAATCAAAATTAAAGAATGAACCGACAGAAGAACCGATGAATATCACTTTTTCGCACCGTATCCCAATTTTATTAACAATTGGACCGCAAAATCCACAGAAGCAATTTGTGTGTAAGGGTTTTTGCCTTCTTCCCATTGGATTGGTCTTTTTGTGAAGCCATATCGTAAGAAATAACGTGACAGCCTGTAGCATTGGCCGATGGTTGTATTAGAAACCTCCATGTATATTGATTTCCTAGAAATGATGAAGGCAAAGAATCACGGATTTATAAAGTTCGTCCGGAAGTTGTTGATTTTGGAGTAAGGTTTGATGGTACTGGGGAATTGCTATTTTGTAATATGTTTGAATATTTTCAATATCTACAAAGCGGCCTTCAGGATCTGATTCCGCAATAGATTGGAGAAGACTCTCTGTATTGAGGGGACATTATGCGTAATCTCAAGTAATCTTTAGTAAAATGATGAAAATGAGCGAAATAATATAAAACAAGACAATCTTAGAAAATAAAAAAAACCAAGGTGGATATGATTTTATAAATAATTTTCGTCCTTGTAATTTGGATAATAAATAACCGCAAGAAATTGTATAATTTTCTGAACCAATAAACATATATATTAAGCATTTTTTTCTAATATAGATTGAATTTTCACCACAGAAATAGAAGAAAGCAACCTTTTATACGTATATTGTACGTACTAGTTTTTCGTTAATAAACATTTGCCGATCAATTATATATAAAATTAAGCAGTATTATTTTTATTGCATCTCATGATTTTGATTAAATAGTGTAATTTTTTGTGCGTATGAAAAAAAAAGCCTAAATCTATAAGAAAAAAAACTAATCAATTACATTAATTAGTGTATAAAAAAAAAAGCTTAAGTCTATATAAGAAAAAAACTAATCAACTACATAAATTTTTTTCGATCAGATTTTTCTTCTAATTCGCTAACTCGTTTTTCTAATTGTATGCTTCTTTCTTCCAATCGTATAACTTTTTCAAATAAAAATAAAAATTTACATTCGGGCCTAGAGTTGGGCTCAAGGTTAGGCTCAAGTTCGGGCTCAGGATCCGGATTAATATACTGATATATAGAGTATTTTAGTATGCATATATCGATATATATTTATTTGTTATTAATAAGTGTTGGTGAGAGAAACTCATAGTTTATTATAATAAAAATATAATCACCCTTATTTTTTTACCACTTCTAGATGAAAACCTATAGTATTCAGCCGCCAAAAATTTAGCACTATGTTCACTATGTCTATAATTTGTTCCATTTTTCATTCCATAATAGAAGTTGCCAGTGTTGGTATGATTTTTGAAATGAACGTGTACGTAACTAAAAAAAAAAAAAAAAAACATTAAAAATTTATATAATTGTATACTGTATATAATTTTATCCGACAAACTCATATGATCATGGCGCAGTTTTTGCACGTTATTTTTTAATGTATTATGACGTAATGCCAAATA